AACCTAATGCATACATTATTTCTCCTAATACACTCTACCAAACGACTCCTTACTGTTAATATGAATTGTTTATGAACAATTCATGTCCCTCATATCCTTCATGAGTAAAATTTTCATCTCCAGGGTGTGTTTGGTATGAAGGAAATATTATCCATGAAAAATATTTTCCTAGATTATATTTTCTTGGAAAATAAATTAGTTTCTAACTTATGTTTCTCATGTTTGGTTGGTGGCTAAAATATTATTTTTCAAAAAATATTTTCTAGTGTTTGGTTGATGAATGAAAAACATTTTCCAAAAAATATTCTTTATTTTTTTCTAGAGAGTAGAAAATATTTTTTAGTAAAATAGTTTCTATGACACGATCAAAAATCGGACCATGATGGCGCCTACTATAACCCCCTGATAGGCAAGCCAAAAACTCAAAACTTGCGGAAGGTAACAATTTAAAGATAAAGAACAAGCACAAACAGGAATAAAGATAGAAAAATAGGACCATAATATAGAAATGTAAATACAATACACAATATACAAAAAAGGCCTAATAGTAACCAAGAAAGGCACGGTAATACAAGAACCAACCCCCGGACTTAGTGTCACGGGTACAAGAGCATCAAAGTAAAAGAAAAGCTATATATACAAGTCTGTCTAATCCAATACACAAAATATAGATAGGCACAAAAGAAGGAAAAACAATAAACCTTCGGGCGCCAAGAGCACACCACAATCTGAATTGGAGACGGCCACGAGAGATCCAATGCTCACTAAGGGTGGCTCATACTAGAAGTTGCATAAAAAATGTAGAAATGTAGTTTGAGTACCACAACACAGGGTACTTAGTAGACATCATAGACCGACTGAGCTCAGAAAGATCAAATATATATAGAGTAGCACGATAGTTCGACTATTACAATGGAAAAGTTCTAAAATACAATAACCAACTATCGAGAAAAGTCCAACACAAGATAGTGAACAGGAAACACTTTGGTAAAAGACAATCCCAACACGCACAATAAGCCAGACAACATGATGATTCGATGCAAGTGATGAATGCTGGAAAATAGAAGCCTAGAAAAACTTCTAGTCATCCGAAATGATACTTCACACTCATCAACATGTGCAACACAATTAGAGCAAAAGTAAACCATCATACAAACTCATAAGTATTTTTTTCGTTTTAAGTCATAAAAATCCCAAAAATATTGTATTTTCCATCTAAATTCATTTTTCTTTAACTTAAACAGTGATCCACCCCTTTGAGGCTCAACAAGAAGGGAAAACTTAGTGAAAATCATTTTCATTATATTCCTCAATATCAACTTGCCAAGTATTTTTAAAAATAAACAAGTCAAATGCAGGTACCAAAAATTTGCTATCGTGCCAAAACATACACAACCTCATCAAAATCAACACATCAACAATCATCTGGGTAACACTTGATACGGCATAGACGTACTAACCTGAAACTTTTGCAAGTCCAAACTCACAACCTCAAGCCCTAAAATAAATAAAAGTAAGGAACTGAAAGGATTGAAAACATAACACAAGCACACAATTATTCCAAAACAAAGTAACACGCGGAAACCTAAGCTTCATGCCACCTAGAAGCATTTCTAAACATACTAATTGACACCAAGGACATGGATCCACCTAAAATAAGATTTTTCCAGCTAAAAATAAAGCTAACCAACCCGAAATGGCAATATAGTGTCTAAGAACCATGTAAACCTAAAAACTAGCCCTAAAATCTTACCTAACAATCAAAACAACCCAATATTCAAATGACTAACTTAGATATGTCTAAAAGAAGTGAAACAATAACCAACCTCGAGGTAAAAACCGCACCTAAACATCTACTCTGGTGTTTTTCTCTTCCGAAGGGCCTCCAAAAGATGCCACACCATCAAAAACATATCAAGAACACCAAAAAATCAAAATGATACCATATCAATATAGAATTTGAAAACGTAAAAATTACCCAAAAATACAATTGAGGGACTTGGGCTTGGAATCATGAAATTGACTTCGTCACAAGGTCCCAAATAGCTCAAGAAACTTGTGCCCCAAAAATAGACCCAATTTGAGCATCAATCGAGCAAAAAAAGTCCCACTAATATTTAAGCTCAAAGAATTCAAAAATGGAGAATTAAGAGAGAAACTTTTGAAATCATACAACTTTAGCGGAAGATTTATCGACCCCGAGGTGTGCCAGGCAATTCCCTGACACAACCCAACAAATACTACTGAAAATCTCCAAGAATTGCTCTCAAAATTGCCCCAAGACTTAAGTCTTTTAAGAATATGCATGCTGAAAAATGGACTGATATTAACTTATAATTGCAAGCAATTTTACTCTCCGAGAACGTAGAGCCCTGTTTGTGAATGCGGAGACCTAGGTTGTACACTCCGCGAATGCAGAGGCTAAAGGCAGTACACTTCACGAATGCGGAGCTCCTATAGTGAACACAAAGCTCCTCCCATGAATACAGAGGCCAAATAAACCAACAATCCATGAAGGCGGAGAACAATTAGTGCTGCAACATCTCAATATCAAGTAGAGAAAATTCCCCTCGGGGGCTCAAGATTTATTCAGAGTTCCATGAATGCAAACAAACTATGCTACCTAGCCAAAATTGACATTCTGAACTCAACGGAATTAAGGAAATCACAAACAGAGGTCGTCTCATCAGGATGTTGATCCAAGTCAACACTTACAAGACAAGCACACAACAAAATGAATAATGCCACAAAATCATCTTGATAACCTTGGGATCCAAACCAAAGGTCGTTCTAGACCACACTTTGTATTCCGAAGCTAATTGCATTGATAAAATTCTCATTCGAGCCTTTTTACCAAGAATGTTGACTAAAGTTAAACTTTCAAAGCTATCTCACCTACTGACTTAATTTCACGCTGAGGCCTTGGGATCCGAACTAACCATCCTACTATATCAACATGGACTCTCTAGACCCGATTGATGTGAGGCAAAAAATATATATTTTAATCATTATTTGCCTCACATTTATTATTTATATCTGTTCTTTTTTAGCATAAATTTTATGGATTGTGTTAAATAGTATATTTTATTTGTAGAAGTAAATTGGTGTAAAGTTAAAAAAGTTTGGAGCTAAAATAAATTAACGATGAAAGATTATAGAAGGAAATCAAGCAAACAGCTTAATGAAATAAATTCAATATAATAATGTATAAGGAAAAGTGCAGCATTCAGCGAAATTGAAAGAATCAAGCTGCCACGTGGCAGACTTTGAGTGCATCAGTGCGTCTAGCACCAAACGGACGGAGTTTCACGCGTACAACAATTTCGATCTGTTTGGGTTTTGATTTCCCAATTTATTTTGGACTCAGTTATTTTATTTAGGATTTTCTACATCTATAAATAGTTCATAAAAATAATTATTTGAGAGAAGATCAATTAGGAGGTACTTTGCAAGAAAAAGCTATCAATATTTTTTAGGGTTCTTTCTTTTCTTAGAGACTAGTGGCTAAACGCCCTTGTTCTGGAGCTGTAGCTACGAATCGAATGTTACATATTTAAGGTTTATGAATTAATTCTTGGTTGTCATTATAAGTTGCTTCTATATTCTTGTTTTAGTATTTTATGCTTGCGCACCATAAGATAAATCTATTGTCTAATCTTAAAATCGAGAGAGGAGAGATTAGATAGACTAGAGAATATAGAGAGCTTGATCGACCCATTAAGTTGAGGTGATTTGTGTTCAGGAGTGACGCTCGGACGAACAACTCGCTTGGTTACGAAACATGATGAAATATAAATGCTCGCCAATTAGTCTGTTTATCTCCGCTCAACGATGTAGTTAGACAGCTAATTGGAGTAGGTGACTAGAGGTGTGTAACCCGACTCATACAATTAACCCTGTAAATTAGTAACTTGACAACTAAAATTACTTCTAAGCCGATAATATGCTACATGAGATTCATTACATGCTGCAGCCCTGGATTTTCCAAATCACAGTAAGTAATTTTATTATTTTATTCCTGCATTCTTTTCTTTTGACACTCGTAAATAAATAATTAGACCAGTATAATTTAGTAAAAATAGTTAATTGACAAGTCCTTTGGGTTTGATAATCTGGTTCTTTTAAGAGCCATTATATTACTTGCGCGACCACATACACTTGCGTGTGCAATTGGGAGCAACACCGATGAAAATTGATAGAAATTTCATGCATCATCAAATTCTCTAGATGTTGACTAAAGTCAACTCTTTTACTTTAAGTGCCTTTAAAAGGTAAAAACTCATATGTTTATGAATATGCCTTTTCTGTTGGGATTTTTACTTAGCACCGAGAGGACATTGAGATGGAGGCCTTCCCGTTAATAGAGGCCGGTCTGTAGTATCAATCTCTTTGTCCCTAACTACGTGCCTCCGTAGAATTGTCACAGAAAGACTTAACTAGTGGATCAACCTAAGCTAGAAGCTCATGGTCCTTACCTTGACAAGTAGGACATCTCTTTTTGGTGTGGGAGCAAGACACTGGATTCCATGTTATAGATATAACATTTATTTTAACATCAATTGTTATTTTATAATAATTTTTTTAATCTTATATATAACTTTAGTATTTGATACGATACACACGTGACACAAAATTAGTCTTTTCAAGTTGATGAACGGGTATATCCTTTGACGCTGCTGGTACGTAATTAGTGGAAACAATTTCTTTTGTAGTGTGTGAGACTATGCTCATGTATAGTCCCACCTCAATTCAAGGCGTAGACAAAAAAAAAAACATGTATAATAGCAAAATGTGGCAGTGAGTGCGCTGGAAGCCATAATATATTATGGTATGTGGACCACACCATTAGCACTAGAGGGTCTGGACCATAGTCAACTAATATAATTGACAAAAAGAAAGTTATCAAAGAGATGCAAATATAAATTGGAGATAAAATTCACTTGCAACTTTGTCACCAAATTAAAGAAGCAAAAGAAAGAAGGAAATAGTAGATTGAGTTGATGGATAGGGAGGAGACAAGAAAAAATAAATTGAAAAGGGAATCTGCAGTGTCTATGGGCTCTGCAAAGCAGCAAATCCTCGTTGATTGGAGAGGAAGACCTTGCAAACCCAACAAACATGGTGGCATGACTGCTGCCATCTTTGTATTATGTAAGTCTTACTTTACTTTTTTTAGTTTGTTTACTTTAATATCAGCTTTTCACTTGACATGTTTAAGGGCGATTTCTATCATTTTGCTTCCTATTGATTTGCATTTAATATGTGTTTATCTGAAAGTTAATTATTTAATTTGGAGGATGGATATGCATTATATATGCAGGCCTTCAGGCATTTGAAATGATGGCGATTGCAGCCGTTGGGAATAATCTTATAACGTACGTCTTCAATGAGATGCACTTCCCTCTCTCAGAGTCCGCAAACATAGTAACAAATTTCATTGGAACTGTTTTTCTCCTCTCCCTTTTTGGTGGCTTTCTCTCTGATTCTTATCTTGGCAGCTTCTCGACTATGTTCATTTTTGGCTTCGTCGAGCTCTCTGTAAGTACATATATGTCTTGTGGTATCCTTGTGATCTTTTTTCCTTGTCTTATAATGTGCATATTGGCAGGGGTTTATTTTATTGGCAGTGCAAGCACATGTTCCACAACTAAGACCACCAAAGTGTGACATGATGTTGAACAAAGGAAAGTGTTTGAAAGTAAAGGGATACAAAGCTATGATATTCTTTGTGGCACTATACTTGGTTGCTTTAGGTAGTGGGTGTTTAAAACCAAATATAATTTCTCACGGCGCTGACCAATTTAAGAAAAATGATTCCAAGAAACTTTCTACTTACTTCAACTTTGCCTATTTTGCCTTCTGTGCTGGGGAGCTTCTTGCTCTAACACTTGTTGTTTGGATCCAAACTCATTACGGAATGGACGTTGGATTTGGTGTTTCTGCGGCTGCCATGGTCGTTGGATTGATCATTTTCCTTTCTGGGACACTTGTTTATATGAACACACCACCTGGAGGAAGTATATTCACACCAATTGCCCAAGTACTTTTTCTTTCTCCTTTTCCACATCTACTAATCGAATCATTCAGTCTCTTAATATCTCAAAAAATACTATATCCCATGTCCCAATCTATGTGACTTACTTTTCTTTTTAGTTCGTCCAAAAAAGAATGACACATTTCTATATTAAATAATAATTTAATTATAAAATGTCTATTTTCTCCTTAATGAAATGATTTACAGTCACACAAATTTCTATCATTTATTTTGAATTACAAGTTTTAAAAATCTTTCTTTTTTTCTTAAACTCCGTGTTGAGTCAAACTACCTCACATAAAATGGAACGTAGGGAGTAATTAGTATGAACTTTACGTTAAAAGGCAGGTCTTTCCTTTACATCATGGAATAAAATATGAATAAGAAAAAATTAAATGGCTTACAAAATATTCATTTGTCATCAATCCTGATTCTAAGGTTTAGTTATCCATAATTTCCGTTTTTATTAAGTGCGTAGGAACAATTATTGCTCGTGTTTCATTTTTTTCTATGAAATCATTTGTCCATTTCTTAAAGGGTTTTGTATCACTTCGCTTTTTTTTTTCTTTTCTGGTATGTGTGTTCATTTAGCTTTACAAGGAAGTTAGGAAATGGAACGTCTTTCTTCTTTTTCTTTTCTACTTTACAAGTCATACAACAATAGCTACATTTTCGTTGATATATATACTTATTGTGGTCCCTTTTACACTATTTTATATCCTCGAAAGGCGATGAATTTTATTCCAAGCTTCTATAACATACATATATACTCCTCTGTCTCAATTTATGTGACACGTTTGCTAATATGTTATCGAAGGTTTTTGTGGCTGCAATCACTAAAAGAAAGCAGATCTGCCCTTCAAATCTGAAGATGCTTCATGGAAGCCGATGCATTGTGCCACAGGATGGCACTCTCATCCATACGGATAAATTCAGGTGGTATACCATCATTTATTAGTCAACCGGATACATCATTTAAATTCTCTGTGTTCAAATTTTTATATTATGGCTCAGCTATTATATTAATGGGTACTTTTGAAATTATGAATTATTCTATAATTTAATTATTTTATCGAAATGTTAATGGGTTTTCCACGTATTTTTATACTCGCTCCATCCCTTTTTTATATGTCATATTTTTAGAATGTACTTGCATTAAGAAATTAAGTAACTTTACCCTTTTACCCTTATTTAATGTTTTCTTAAGTCAACTTTTCAATAAATGATGAATATGCTATTTTTCAAAAATTAAAATGCATTTGGAGATTATTTAAATTTTTGAGCTTATTTTTGGAGCCATATTTATTCACCAATTGATCTAAATTTTTTGTTAAAGCTTCAACTTTAATTTCAAGATTATTTTTTATTTTTGCTCCATCTTTTATTTTTTATTTGTTTGTTGAGATTTCTTTTTCAAAATAAGATTTTATAGAATAGTAATGGAGAGAGTAATTAATCAATGCATGAAGTATTCCAATGAATATTAATTACTTACTCCCTCTGTTTCAAAAAAAAGAGATCGAATTTCCTTTTTAGTCTATTTAAAAAAGAATGACCCCTTTCCTTTTTTGGTAATACTTTAACTTCAACTTTTCACGTGACATGTTTAAGGCCACAAGATTAAAGGACATTTTGGTACATTTGACATAACTTTAATTTAGAACCACAAGATTAAAAAATCTTATTTCTTTGCTTAAACTCCATTCCAAGTCAAACTAGGTTATTCTTTTTTAAACAGAGGGAGTATTAGTTTTCATAGGTTGGTCAAAGTATTATATTTTCTAGATTAATTAACTACTCTGTCAAGAGTATAATAGGAAGAATATGGTAATTTATGCATTGATTTTATAAAATGACAATTATTATGAATCAACTATTTATAGAAATGGATAACATATAAAAAGAAACGGAGAGAGTATGTTTTTTTTTATATAGTAATAAGCTAACTAGGTACATAACACACACTTCCTTTCTTCTAAACTTGAGTTTCTCTAAATTTCTACATTTTCTATGTGAAAATGCAATGTAGGTTCTTAGACAAGGCATGCATCAAAATAGAAAACGGAAGAAGTACAAGTGAAAGCCCCTGGAGATTATGCACAGTGTCCCAAGTGGAGCAAGTAAAAATATTAATCTCAGTTGTTCCCATCTTTGCTTGCACCATAATCTTCAACACAATCTTAGCTCAACTCCAAACCTTCTCAGTACAACAGGGAACTGTGATGAACACACGCCTAACCGACAACTTTACCATCCCTCCAGCTTCCCTTCAGTCCATACCTTACTTCATGCTAATATTTTTGGTCCCTCTCTATGAAATAGCATTAGTCCCCATGATCCGAAAGTTCACGGGGAATGATTCAGGGATCACACCTTTACAAAGAGTTGGCATTGGCCTTTTTATTGCAACATTCTCCATGGTTTGTGCTGCTCTAGTCGAAAACAAGAGAAGAGACTACGCACTGAACCAGAACAGGATACTGTCCATTTTCTGGATAGTTCCACAATTCATTATTTATGGGCTATCAGAGATGTTCACTGCAGTGGGACTTATAGAGTTCTTCTATAAACAATCACTAGAAGGGATGCAGTCTTTCTTAACCGCCATGACGTATTGTTCCTATTCATTTGGATTTTATTTGAGCTCCATATTAGTTTCATTAGTTAACAGAATAACCTCTACATCTTCTTCAGGTGGAGGTGGATGGTTAAATGATAATGACCTCAACAAGAATAGGCTAGATCTTTTTTATTGGCTACTGGCTGCTCTTAGCCTCGTTAACTTCATTAATTATGTTTTCTGCTCCAAATGGTATTCCTATAATCCATCTCTGTTACCTGTTGTTCCATTACATGAGCCACAAGCACAAGGACATGACTCTGAGAATCCAAATTGAGGTGTATGTAATTGAGAATTAAGCTACTAACTATAGTTATAAATCGAGTGTTTTGAAATTGGCAGGCTATATCAATTTCACGATTTTCTCTCAATTAGTAGGTAACTAGGTAAATTATCCGTACTTGGCACGTGATTGAACTATTTTATTAAGCTTACATATGATCATCCGGTAATATTTGTATTTTCGATACATACACTATATTGTCAAGAATATTTTATCTTAAGGTAACACGTTCCTCCAAAATCTTAAACTGCTATATTTTTTAATTTTCGTTTTTGTTATACAAAAACTATGAGTCATAGAGAGATTTTAAGTATAAGAAAATCTCCACTGAAATAGTTGGTTAGAAGTAACGAAATTTTCTAAATTCCAAAAAGTTATAAAGAACAACATCAGACATTAAAGAAGAGACCAAAAAGCCTTGAACAACAACACTCTCAAGTAAAGTGGAATATTGAAAGACATTCGGCTCCTTTCTTATAAACCTCCATCAATCTCTTTTTTTACTATAGTATGTCGTATTATGTATATATTAAAAGTGACCTTAAAATTGTTAGTATCATAAATGTTTTTCCTCATTGTCTCAGAATAGTCATTACTATTGATTAGGTTTCATATCACCGGCCCTAACTTATTTGAAATTGAACCATAGTTATTGTTATGATTATAGTGTGCAGTTACAAAGAATTCATGCAATAATCAACCAAGCAGTATGTGACATATGAATGGAACTGTTCAGAACTGGATATTCTAGACCAAACTTTTGATACATAACATATTAAAATGTCACACCATAATTTTGTGAGCACTGAAACTCACAAATATCCACAAATAATAATAAAGACGACCTTACTTTCCTAATAATCAAGAAGAAAAAGGCATGTTGCTTAACATATTTCTTCAAAAAGATAGTCTATCGGGTTGTATCGAAGTTTACACTTCACAAATTTAATTAAAAGAAACAAAATAAAGAGTTATTACTACAACAAAAATAATCTTTAACATAAATTAATAGCTTAATTGCCGCTAAATATGTATTTTGAGAGGAAATTAGTACTCTCTATAAATGTCCCTAAAGTCTATAGCAACATTGAATCTAATCATAATTAATTAATGTTGGTAAAGACTCTAACACTCTTCGTTAATGTGCATTTTATTACCAATAAAAATTATTTTTTATAGTGTATTTTGGGTATATGTTAGTTTCAAGAAAACTTGATCTCTTATTATGACCAAAGAGAAAAGAGGAAGAAATATGGCAAATTAGTCAACTTGCGATAAAAGAAGTGCACTAAATGTCTCTATACTTATATTCTAGGAAGAGTGCAATGACATACAAAATGTTTGTACTTGAGATAAAACAATCAAAATAATATACCAATTGTGGCAAGCAAGAGAGCAATATATTTGGTTCTTTTAACAAACTTCACCATTGGTTCTGTATTAGTTATCACATATTTGTTGTTGTGTGCTATCAAATATAGCACAACCTACAAATAATTTTCCCAAAAGTATATGATGGAACTTGTAGAAAGGGACAAAAGAGAAGATCAATTTTCAATCATTTTTATTGGATATTTTAATAGAGTTTAAAAAAGTCACCAAAATAGCAAAAAGAAATTGCAATAGTTACATGAATCACTATGACTCACAGTAAAAGATTAAGCTTCATGAAATATGAGGAAGAAAAATTGGAGGAATGAATACACTTCATAAGAAGCTTAAATAATGTATTTGAATTTGACTCTCCTATAGCGGAAAAAAACCTACAAATAATAGTGACAGAAATAAAAGTTTTGTTTACTAAAGAACCAAATGTAATGAATTCAACCATTCCAACAACGTTATGAGTTGTGGACTGAGAGGTCCAAGAGTAGTAATGTCGCATTGCAATTGAAATCAATTTTCTTTTTTCATTCTTTCTTCTTTTGGTGCCTTGGAATTAAGTGTTTGGTTTTAAAATGTGTGAATGAAAATTGAAGAGTTGTGACTTTTGTGAAAAGTTGTGGCTTTTGTGAAAAATTGTGACTTTTATGAAGAGTTCTGACTTTTCTAAAGAGTTGTGACTTTTCTGTATGGTTGTGACTTTTAAGAAGAGTTAAATAAGAATCATGATATGTGGGTTGGCTGTTGTAAACAATGTTGTAAATAGGCTCAACGTTTATGAAGAGCGGCAAGAGTGGTAAAACAATGAACGGGAGAAACAAATGTTGAAGGTTAAAGCAGCGTTTCTATTGCAGAAGGGAAGGGCAGTTTTGAAAATAAATAAATAAAAGGAGAACCCTTGTTTTTGGTGGCACCATGTCACCGAGTTGAGGGTTCTTTTATATATATATATATATATATATATATATATATATATATATATATGATGTTTTTTTATTGTTGTCAATCGAACGATTTCCCCCCAACAACATACTTCAAACATATCATATTGGCAAAAGTTCTACATATCATGATGTGTCAGGATGCAAGTACGGCTTTGAAAGTGCTAAACAAGAAGGTCAATGACTTGTTTAGGCATGTACACGTCATGGAAGGGTCTATCACTACCTTCCAAGCAGATATGCACAAATTGAAAAAAGAAGTGCCCCGTCATTACAAAGACCCTTTTTCCGTTAAGGAGATTGTTGCCGCCCATAATCCTCTGTATTGATTAATCAGTTACAAAATTGATTGTTATGCATGGATCTACTGTTATCTTGAACACTGATTGCAAACACTGATTGAGCTCTTTAACATCATTTTATCTTGAGAAAAGAACATGGAGTTGGGTAAGACTCCAATGGTGAGGACTTGGTGAAATTAGTAAAAGGATTTGAGCTATAGATAGGACAATCCGATTAATTTTCTATTTAATGAAATGACATAAGGATAGTCTATCTACTCAAGCAATTTTTGGTGTTTTATTGTTAAGAGTCTTGTAGTTCGAGAAAATCAAAGGGATATATGCTTGATAGTTCTAGAGAATTTCGAACTTAGACTAGATCAAAATGTATCAATTGATTTAGTTATGATTAATCTTTACTTATTGAGTCGAAACCCCACCGTGATATTAGTTGACTGATTCAAAAGTTTAATGTTGTTAGTGACAGTACTTTTAGGAGTCTTTTATATTTTTAGTTAACTAGCTCTAGGAGTCCTAATTAGTTGATGTTAGTTAGTTAGCAAGTCATGGGTTAGTGCTAAACTAGTGCCCTATTTTTTCTCTAGGTTTGTTTCTTTCTAAGTTCTATTTATAGACTTGTAGCGTTGTCTTCTGAAGTAATAGAAAAAGATCAAGTTTCTCTTTGTTAAATCTTATTCGAGTGTCGTTCATATCTTTTGCCAACATTCTTGGTATCAGAGCTTTACTCCAGGTTAAGATCCATCATTTTCTCAAGCAGGGATTGGTATAGTAAGAGAGAAAAATAGTGAAATATTATAAGATTTTTTCCCAAGAGAAATCAGACAATTTCCATGGTAGGAAATGAGACAGCAACTTCGTCGCAGCACCTAATTTCAATTTTCAGAAGGGAAAATTATCAGTTCTGGAGCCTAAAAATAAAGGCTCTTTTCAAATATCAAGAACTATGGGATGTAGTTCAGACTGAAATTTCAGAAGGGAATGCAAACCTGTTGAGAGAACATCGGAAGAGAGACTCAAAAGCTCTATTCACGATCAAGCAGGCTCTTGATGATGAAACTTTTTCTCGCATATCAACAGCTAAGACTTTCAAACAAGCATGGGAGATCCTGAAGCAAGAGTACTTGGGAGATGATAAGGTAATTACTGTTAAATTACAACTCTCCGAAGTGATTTTGAAACATTATTCATGAATGAAAATGAATTTGTGCAAGGATATTTGTCTAGAACATCTACTATTGTTAATAGGATGATGGTGAGAAAATTGATAATCAGATTGTTGTGTCTAAAGTGTTGAGAAGTTTAACCACTAAATCGAGCATCTTGTTACTGCAATTGAGGAATCTAAGGACCTATCTACCTATTCTTTTGATGAATTAATGAGTTCCTTGCTAGCTGATGAAGATAGGCTAAATAGGTCCCATGAGAAAGTTTAAGAGATGGCATTCTAGGTTAAGGAGGAGTTTGGCTACAAGGGTAAAACAGAAAACTCAGGTGGACATGGTAGAGGCAATTTCCGTGGTCGAGGCCGTGGTAGTAGCAGCAGAGGTAGAAATCAAGTTGGTAAATTCCGTCAGTACAAGAGCAATATTCAATGCCGATACTGCAAGAAATTTGGTCACAAAGAAGTTGACTGTTGGGCGAAGCAAAAAGATGAGCAGAAGGAAGCCAATTTCACTCAAAATGTGGAAGAAGAAAGTAAGTTGTTTATGGATAGTTCCCAAATAACTGAAAGTGTGAATGTTGTGTGGTTCATTGATAGCGGATGCTCAAATCACATTTAAAGTTCAAAGTCTCTATTCAGATATCTTGATGAGTCCTAGAAAAGTGAGGTGTGACTAGGAGATGACAAACAAGTGCACATTGAAAGGAAAGGTACAGTTGAGATAAAACTGTCCAAGGTAATGTGAAGTTTTTATATGATGTGAAATATGTCCCTACTTTGGCTCATAATCTATTAAGTGTTGGCCAATTGATGACCAATGGCTACTCAGTAGTTTTTTATGATAATGCATGTGACATTAAGGACAAAAAATCTGAATGCACGATAGCTTGTGTGCTTATGACTCAAAACAAAATGTTTCCTCTTGATATTTCAAATGTTGGTAATACTGCCTTAGTTGTTAAAGGGAAAAATGAGACTAATTTGTGGCACTTACGTTATGGACATTTGAATGTTAATGGGTTGAAACTTTTGGTTCAAAAAGACATGGTTATTGGCTTGCCAAAAATCAATGAACTTGACCTGTGTGAAGGATGTATCTATGGGAAGCAAACTAGGAAATCATTTCCAGTGGGAAAATCATGGAGGGCTATAACTTGTCTTGAACTTGTGCATGCTGATTTGTGCGGGCCAATGAAAATAGAATCCCTTGATGAAAGTCGATATTTTTTTTATGTTTACTG